CCGCCCCATCAGACACAGGTACCTCCCGAAACTTCCATGTCCGGTGAGGACCTGCGTCAGGCGGTAGGTGAGGACGCCGTAGCGTCTCTCAAGCCACTCCTCAAAGAGGGGACTTACCGCTGCGATGGCAGCGAGCCCAGCCCTCGGTTGCGACAGTCGTTGCTGCCATTCCGCCATGAGATCGCGCCGGAGCTCATCCCGCCACGCACTTATCTGGCGCGGCAGCGGAGTTTCGCCCCGGCGACGTGCCTCCGCGCGCATGCTGTGCACGCGCGCGAGCACCTTCGCCTCCAGATCCCACGGCGGTAATCCGGCAAGGAGGTTCGCCGACTCCCCAGAGATCGTGCGGTATCCGCGGATCATTCGGATCGCCATGACCCTCTGTGCCATGAGCAGCGTCCGAGCGGGACGCCGCAACAGGTTAGGCGCCCAAACAGGGGCGCCGTAGAGGGCCATGGACCGCACGACCCCGGCGTATAACCTCCGGCAGGAGGCGTTTGGCCCCCCGAGGTTGGGGAGGATGCGTTTAAACGCAGCCCCCGCCCTCATATTATCTATACATACCTCCTATGTAAGACTTACGACGTTTTTACCTACTTGTACTTATTGAATTTATCGTAAATAAGTATACTTTATTATTATGAACATCATGTTTGAAGTAAAACGATCTATTAAATCGACAGTAAATTAGAAAATATATAAATTAGAGATTTTTTCTTTGTTCCGTTCACTTACGCTTCAGGCTTAGTTTATAGAACGTCATTATTGAAGTATAACATATATGAAATACAACGTAATTTGGAAGTGTTATCTCAACCTTATAATACTAAGGAGTGTAGTTTACTATTAAATCTAGCTTGTCTGATCGAAAGTTTAATAAAGAATCAATGGAATGGAATTTGACAGCGATTTTAGTCGATTATTTTTTTTTTATTGGGGAAATTGTTTTTTTTAGAATAGGGTATAATTAATAGTATAATATAGTTAGTTCTATGTCAGAATATAATAGTAATGTGCTCATGTTACGATATTTGAAGTTAGACGACACACATTAACGTTATAAAAGTTTACTTAGCGGACACCACGTGCAACCCAGAGTCCTCTGAATATTTTATTATCCACAAATGTGTTATGTCGTTAATCTTATTAGTTTAGTTATTATTTATTTTGAATTTGAATGAATATCTTGCATAATAATTTTATTTAAACCTTTGCTATTGCATCACTACTGCCTGTTCTATTTTTATTGAACTACTTAGTCATTGGTCTGAATGAGGCAAAATATTATTGAAATATATTTTATCTCTCTATCTATAGATATTAAATAATCAATCCGTTGGAGGAAATAAATAAACCATAATAATTTATTACTCAAATGAAACCAGGTTAATTTAGTGTTCACATCCCCATAGCAGAGTTATTAGTGCATCAACATCACAACTATCTTCGTTTAATCAACGTACATGGTTTCTACAACTTGGTCGCTAACCGGTTAAATGGCCACTAACTTAAAGATTCCATCTCATCTCTGTTATTTATTTACTGTAGGATAATGCTCGTATTTATGTAGTGATAAGAGAAAACGTAGGAATATAATAAGATAAGGTGACCTAAGCCACATAGGTAGAGAGAATGTGATTGCGGAAGCAAATGCCGGACCTGTTATTATTTATGGGACCAATACTATGTACCGACAATATATGTACTTTTATGTATTAAGTTAATTACTGGTGCTACTGCACTAAACTTTACATGCCAAAACTTGAATGTTATTGAACTCACTTTTTACGTTAACAAAATCTTATTAATTACTTCTAGCTAACGACGCTAAGCACTCTGCCATCGATGCTCTGGACAAGGAGTTGTCGAAGGTCTCCCTGGCCGCTGGTGAAGCGCAGGACGCCGCCAGCAAGGCTCTCGCTGACGGCAAGAAGGTCGTTGACACAACCAAAGGTAGGTGCATCAGGTTAAAATTAGAAATTTAAGATTTATTTTGATTAGTCGATTTATGTTGTATTTAGTCGATTTTTTTTATTTTAATACAGCAGTAATTTTTGTTGCGTATATTTTTTTATTTAGTCCTTACCTAAAAATTGTTTTAGCTACTTTTATGAGCTGAATTATTTTAAAGCTTGTACTTTCCTTTTTAGTTTTAGCTACGCTAATTCCCTCTTTTTCTGCTACTTTATTTCTTTAGACACATTGGCTACAACAGCAGAGAACACGAAAAAGGCCGCAGAATCTGCATACAACACAACTAAAGGTAAGTTAATGATGATGAAGGGATTACTACTCAAAACTTCTCTCTGTCTGCATGCACTAACTTTGCACTGTGGTACGTATGAGACGATGAATGTAAGAAACTAAGAACGCGGCTAAACAAGCCGTTGACATCGGCAGACTTGGTGAAAGGTAAATAAACCTTCTTTTCATGATGCCTTCTTCGGAAACGGTGGGCGGGAAATAATTTTGGCAACGTTTTATTTTATCTGTGAACTCTTTGTTCTCTTTTTCTGGCTGGTATTTCGAATTATTTATTTACTATTGGTTTGAGGGAGAAATACGTTATGTATAATTTTTGTATTGTAATTTATTTTGTTGCTATTTTATGTTTGTTGTTTTTTTTTGAAATTTTTTAGATACAGTTTCAAGCACTGTTCAGAATACTGTAGATATAACACAGAGAGTTGCTCAATCGGCTATTGATACCGGGAAAACATATGCCACAACCGCTAGAGGTAGGTTTCACACGCAAGCGAAGATAAGCTATATTTATTTTCGTACAATCTTTACATTTATTATTTTATTTTTTAGATTCAGTGAATAGCACTGTAGAGAACACAAAACACGCTGCACAAACAGCTGTAGATACGGCAAAGACTTATGTAGATAGCGCCAAAGGTATTTTTCTTATTGTTTTTTTTTGTGTGTGTGTTTTTTTTTTCGTTTGTAACTAAACCCGTGTGTTTTTGCTAATAACGCTTTAGATACAGCCCAAAGTACGTTTCAAATGGCATACGATGCATCTGTTGGTGCTGCCAGCTCAGCTTATGGCATGGGCTTATCCTATTTAGAGAGCGCCAAAGGTATTTATTTGCTAGATTTTTTTTTATTTTGTTTTGTTTTTCGTTTATTAAATGACAATGATATTTTTGTTATACTTTTTACACATTCGATTAAATACTTATTTTAATTTTATAATTATTTTTACGTCTTAGATACAGTAGCAAGCACAGTAGATAGCACAAAGAAAACTGCACAAAGTACAATTGAGACTGGAAAAACCTACGTCGATTCAGCCAAAGGTAAATAAATATTTACTCGTACAAAGTTTATCTTTTACACTATAATTTTAGCAATATAATACGTTCAGCTCGAGAATGCTGTCGAAACTATTTTCGTTAATACAAAAAAACAGTCTTATTTGCGTTTAGAAATACCTACCGGTTGAAAAATACTTCAAATGGTGTTATTGGTGTTGAAAGGTAATATATCTAAATATACCTATTTTATCCTAGTAGTTACAATAGGTTCATACTAGAAATATCTAGAAAAAGTAGTACCACGTACTTACCTATCTAGATACATTTTTATATTGTGTCACACCTACTATATTTATTTTTATTAAAGGCCTTGGTTATTTTATTTTAAATTCTCCGCTCTATTAATTTATCCACGTGTTCGCGTTATTCGCTTGACGTGTCATAAATGCATTGTTATACGGAAATACATTACCGTGACGTGTCGCTCCACCCACCAATCAGATGCAAGTATTGCTCAACCCACGCAACACCACACGACATACAAGTGTCTCTTTTCTCTAACCGTAGTCATCATCAACAGCATATTAGTGCCCACTGCTGACCTAAGCCTCTTCTCACACGGAGAAGGTTTGAGCATTAATCACCACGCTTGCTCATTGCGGGTTGGCGGTTTCAAACTTATAATTAGAAATTATAACTCCAGGTTTCCTCACCGTTTTTCAATGGTGTCTGAATAATCTTAGAAAGTTGTATAACTCTGAAAGAGTCACTTGTTTGTCTTGGTGCTTGCCGTTGGTAGGTTTCGAACCTCATCTCATGCATGAGAAGCGGGCGTCTTAACATCCTGGCCACCAGGACATTCTAACCGTTGTAAATATATGAAACCAATATGCTCTTGGTTCGGTACGACACGTCCGGTGATATATCTCTGACTTTACGTTGTAGATAGTGTAGCGAACACAGTCCACACAACTGTAGATGCTACTAAGAATGCTGCTGCAGCTGCTGTTGAGAAGGGCACTACTATGATTGGCACTGCCAAAGGTATTGCATTTTGATAGTCTAGGGATCGGCAAACCTTGGAACTATTGCTCCTTCATTACTACCTATTTAGATCGTAATGTTTTTTTAACAATTGCTTACACTGTCTTTATCTGAACTTCAGTGGTATAGTTAAAACTAAACCGCCGCGTAGATCACCGGTGACGTACGTTAGCGGAGGATTTGCGTTCAGCAGTTTTCTGTCGACAGTTAAAGGCTTAAAAAACTCCCACGCATTTACAGGTCGATTGATTCACATTCCATCCTTTGTTGGACATCAGAAAAGTTAGTCGAGAAAATCCATTGGTCAGAGTAATTTTTATTTCAAAGTTTGCCGATACCCGCGATACTCCATTACAAATGCTGATTAGCATTATAAAATCGCATTTAATTTATTGTAGAAACCGTAGCAAGCACTATTAGCACCACTGTAGACACAACTAAAAATGTAGCCGCCGCTGCCGTAGACAAGGGAACCACGCTCATTGGCACAGCTAAAGGTAGAATCATATTACCTATATTAGAGGTATTTTTGAACATTCTCATTAAATATTTCACTAAACTCTTTAGTGTTGTAAATTCTTATAACTGGTAAGATTATCCAATTAAAAAAAATCCATTCGTTTAAAATCCATGATTCATTATCGATAAATCGTTACCGGAGCTTAGTACCAACAAATGGCTAAATCCATCACTGTTTCCAAACAACGTAAATTACCTGTTTCATAATAATATCCACCATATCAGTTTCCTAATGTATCAAATATAACTGTGTTATGTGATGTTTATTAATTTTCCTTGTTGACGTTAGATACGGTGGCCAGCACTGTAGATACATCTAAAAACGTTGCAGCTGCTGCAGTAGATAAGAGTACTTCATTATTTGGTACAGCTAAAGGTAGATTGCACAATTTTGAGGATTATTACTTTTTGTTGGGACTCCATTTTTATTTTCTTTTATTTTGCAATATAGATACCGTAGCAAGCACAGCACAGAACACAGTAGACTCTACTAAGAACGCTGCAGCATCAGCTGTAGACCAAAGCACAACATTCATTGGCGCAGCCAAAGGTAGTTCACTTTTGTAGTTAAATATTAAAATCATCTATGTTTACTACTTTGGCTAACTTTATTTATTTATATGTAGACACAGTAGCAAGCACGGTAAACGCGACAGTAGACACGACTAAAAATGTAGCGGCAGCCGCTGTGGAGAAAGGCACTGCTGCGTTTGGCACTGCTAAAGGTAGAAACACACTACTTTTTCATTCACTTCATGAGTTCACTTTAGTTTGATGCTAATATTTGTCCATTCTCGTAGACACGGTAGCCAACACAGTTCAAGCCACAGTTGATACCACTAAAAACGTAGCAGCTGCTGCTGTTGAGAAGGGCACGACTGCAATTGGCACTGCTAAAGGTAGTCCATACTTTTGTTAACATACCACATATTTGATAGTTCACTTTGTATTGTAGCTAATATTTGTTTTTCCACTAATGTAGACACAGTAGCAAACACAGTTCATGCGACAGTTGACACAACTAAGAATGTAGCCGCAGCCGTTGTTGAGAAAGGCACAACCGCGATTGGCACCGCTAAAGGTAGTTAGAAAATATTTGTATACTTTCATTCCGTTTAATGTTCGCTTTGTATCGTAGCTAATGTTTGTCCATTCCTGTAGACACAGTAGCGAACACAGTTCATGCTACAGTCGACACCACTAAAAATGTCGCTGCGGCCGCTTTTGAGAAAGGGACTACCGCGATTGGCACAGCTAAAGGTACTTAGCAGTTAGCACTAAATTTGTGTTTTCATTTTTATATTGTAGCTAATACATTAATATTTATTTTTGCACTCCTGTAGACACAGTAGCGAACACCGTTCATGCAACAGTAGATACCACTAAAAATGTAGCCGCAGCCGTTGTTGAAAAAGGCACAACCGCTATTGGCACCGCTAAAGGTAGTTAACATTTTAGAAGACATTTATATACACTTACTTAATGTTTGCTTTGTGATGTAGCTAATGTGTGGTGTTGTCCATTTATGTAGACACGGTAGCAAGCACAGTACACGCGACAGTAGACACGACTAAAAACGTAGCTGCAGCTGTTGTTGACAAAGGCACAACCGCAATTGGCACTGCTAAAGGTAGTTAACATTTTAGACGACATTTATATACACTTAATGTTTGCTTTGTGATGTAGCTAATGTGTGGTGTTGTCCATTTATGTAGACACGGTAGCAAGCACAGTACATGCGACAGTAGACACGACTAAAAACGTAGCTGCAGCTGTTGTTGAGAAAGGCACAACCGCAATTGGCACTGCTAAAGGTATACCAATTAGCAGATATTTTATGCTATCATTTTCTTTATGTTCGCTTTGTATTGTAGCTAATATATACACTTGTTTGTTGTCCATTCATATAGACACAGTAGCAAACACAGTTCATGCGACAGTAGACACCACTAAGAATGTAGCCGCAGCCGTTGTTGAAAAAGGCACACATGCAATTGGCACCGCCAAAGGTAGCTTTTTATCAGTCATTAATTCTTTTAATAAATTTTGTACTAATTAAAGGTAACTCAATATGTTGATACATCATTAATTTGTTACACAATGCTACCTACATAAGTATCTACAATAGAAAAGTCATTATCCTTATTAATTTGCACCACATTTGTGCTAATTTTTAACTTTTCGTTTTCATTAGAAACTGTAGCAAATACTGTACATTCTACGATAGACACAACTAAAGATGTCGCCGCTGCAGCTGTTGAGAAAGGTTCTTCTATTATTGGTAGTGCAAGAGGTAGTGTGAAATAGTTTATTACTTTTTTATTTTCTTTATCTATTGTTTTTAGTTTATGTTTTGTTTTATTTTTTGTTTGTATTATTTTAGACACAGTAGCAAGCACAGTACATAGTACGGTAGACACGACAAAAAATGTAGCTGCTTCAGCAGTTGAGAAAGGTTCATCTTTAATAGGAACTGCCAAAGGTATCAAAACTAAATAAAAATATTTTCAAGAAATAATTTTGCGTATGTTTTTATATATTTATGGAAGGACATATTTTTATAGATACCGTAGCTCATACTCTTGATACAACGAAACAAGCGGCAGCTTCTGCAGTAGACACAGGAGTTTCATACGCTGCTAGTGCTAAAGGTAGTTAGAATTTCAAAGACATTTTGTTACTTTATTAATTTTCTTTTTTTATTTTATATTTTTGTTTTCTTCCGTAGACACGCTAGCAAACACTGTCCATAGCACTGTAGATACTACGAAAAGTTTGGCTTCATCGGCTGTAGATAAGGGAGCATCATTTGTTGGAGGTGCTAAAGGTATTTGTGACTTACAAAGCAATAATTAAAATCGTTTTATTTTATATTTAAAACACATTTGTTTTATAGACACAGTAGCGCATACGTTTGACTCTACAAAACAAGCGGCCGCTTCTGCGGTAGACACAGGCGTGTCGTACGCCACCAGTGCTAAAGGTAGCCAGTCACGCAATAGTAACATTTCAATTAGGATTTTTTTCATTTTATTTTACACTTTTTTTTCTTTTGTAGACACACTTGCCAATACAGTTCATAGCACAGTAGATGTGACGAAAAATGTTGCTTCATCAGCAGTAGATAAAAGCGCGGCTTTTGTAGGCAGTGCTAAAGGTTTGTAGGCAGTGCTAAACTTTCAATTATTATTTTTAAATTTCCGTATTTTTTATTTGTTTTATTATTTTCACATCGTAGATTCGTTGGCAAGCACAGTAGACTCAGCTAAGAATGTAGCAGCCGGTGCTGTAGACACAGGCGTATCGTTTCTAGGAAATGCCAAAGGTATTGTTTTAGAACTTTTAGTTACATTATATAATTTTTAAACCGGCAACACATTATTTAATTATCCAACCAATCCTATTCATCATGCATATTGATTAGTTACTTTTTAAAGTTTTTGGCTAGGCTAAGTATTATTGGCTGAGATAATATGAATAATGAGTATCTACGTTGGCTTGCGTGGCGCGGAGTTTGAATCTGGCTTTATTTTCTTTATTATTTTACACAAAATATTTTATGTTGCCTTGTAGATACAGTATCAAGCACTGTACTGAGCACGGTTGACACGACAAAGAACGCAGCATCTTCAGTTTTTGATAAAGGAGTGAATATGGTTGGAGGTGCCAAAGGTATAGACGACGTGTTATTTCGATAAAAAAAAAAACAATAAAGAAAATTCTCCCTCATTTTGTTTTTCATCGTTTTTATTTCCATTTTTTTTTTTTGGTAGTTGCATGATTTAGTTTGTACGTAACTATGCTTTTTTCTTTCCTTTTTTAAATTTTTCTTTTTCTTTTCTGCTAACTTTCTTTAGAGACTGTAGCGCACTCGCTCTTTAACGTAGCTGAGACGGGGGCGGACAAAACTGAGACTGGCTTAGAATCGGTTGAAGGTAACTAAACTTTTTATTAACTTCATTTTCCTCTTCGCTTATCTTTTACTAATGGTGTGTGGTAATCTGTAGTCGATTAGTACCTAATTACTTAAAAGTTTAACGGATGGTTTTCCACATGTGTGTTTTCTTTCAGATTGTGTTTAATTACGTTAATACTATCATTTTATCATGTTGTTTAGGAGTGAAGTGAATTAATGGTAATCGAACTTATTTAAAATGTCAATTTAGTTTTGTTTTTCGAAAAGCAAAAACATATAACTTTTTTTCTTTACTGTCATATAATAATTATGTTTCATTTTCTCATGCGTCACTTTTCATCCATATTTTGACCTGCAGACATAGATAGGCGCATTCGTAATTAATTTCGATCTCATAGCGCTTCTAATAATATATCTTATAATACGTAAGAATGAAAAGTACCTGAGAACGAGTACCTAAGTACCTACTATATATTTTTATAACTAACTGGATTTTCCTAACAAACTGGAATTCGTAAAAAATGTGTATTGACTCAGGTAAATTGTTTGTAGGTTTAATCCAAAACAACTTCCAAGGGCCCAAAGATGCGTTCGGAGTTTGTCAAAAGCGCGTTGAAGATACAACCGGTACATAGAGTGTAGTGTGACTAGTAACAAAAATTAATAACTTACCATTAAAAAGCTAATTTGATAATTTGTGTGTTTAGAGTGATTTATTAACTTGTTTTATTTATTTTTAATCTTATAAGTCCACATCGGTAAATAATTAACGGATAAAATAGTCTATAATTTTATTTTTGAAGGGTACTTTTTTAGGATTGCCAGTTAAGAAAACCTACCTAAGACTAACTGTTACTCGTCGAGTACCGGTTTTGTAGACACAATTACAGAACAATAGGTTGCGGTCACCGGTGACCGCTTGGTGTTTGACAGTTTAGTAGGTTTTCTACTTTTTTCTATTGAGGGTACTAATACCCTCCTAAGATAGATTATATCTCAATAGGTATTGGAATTACTAGGTTCCAATGCACGACCCAAAACATTACTCACTCTAATCAAATAAGTACGAGTACGTATAATTAAAATTAGCAGTTTACAACATCCTACATAATTTCCATATTAACTATATATTAGTAATTTTATCGATGTGGACGCCGCCGTTCTTTAACATAAATAAAAATCTTAGTTTAATGAATCCCATTAAAAAAATGTAATGACTAGGACTGGTCACATATACAGCATAATATTTAATTCCATAAACATCTATGTACCTAATGATGTTTTTAAATGACATCATCTTAAAGTAGGTATTTTAATATTGCAAGGACTGTGAATGTCATGTACATACATACCTACTGTTACTTAAAAATTATGATGCGATATCGAGAAAAAAAACTGACTGATTTGTTCCAAATTTAAATAAATTGTCTTTTGAAACCTTATGACGGCTAATACTATAAAAAATAATGGAGCAAATTGGAATAATGTTTCTCATTAAGAAAGGTCTAGGTTTTAGTATAACCAAGCTGATTTTAAAAATTAGCATAAATTAAAATATCAAACAATCTTCCTTTATTAAACAAAGATGTTTTTCCTCAGATACGATCAACACCACGGTGGACGCGACTAAGAAGGCAGCTGAGGAGGCCAAGGTTCAGGCCGCGAAGGCCGCTGAGGACGCCAAGGAAAAGGCTAGACTCGCTGCCAAGGCTGCCGAAGATGAGGCCAAGCGTGTTGCTAGTAAGTTCTACTTCAGATATTTGAAAATGTTATTAAAATGTTAAAGTTTCTTGCTTATGTTTTCTCTATTTAGGAATGTCACTTTAGAGCGAGCAAATAGGTTCACTTAAAGGACCAAAAGATAGAAGAAAAGTCTTATTATTTTATTGTTCGATTAACAAAGTTGGCTTTAATTTGAGCTTTAAGTTGATTAACATATTTGTGTACCTACCTAATTTGTCGCGATGTTTCTTGTTTTAGTCGTCGGAAGTAAAACTGCTGATAATTATTTGGATTAGCAGCAAATTGCATAGTTACAAAATTATTAAAATCGAGATTGATTTAAAAACTGCTCCATTTTTTTTTTATTTGTATTTGCGATGCCTGATTAAGGGTTAACTTTTAATGCTCGGTAGGTAGTGTACAGCCAAGTCACTGTTGAAACACACAATTTCAGACGCAGCTGTAGAGGAATCTAAGAAGGCCGCTGAGAAAGCGGCTGCAGATGCAAGCAATGCCATCAACAGCACAGTGGACAACACTCTCAAGAGGGTGGAGAATGCTGCTGACGAGGGCATCAAGAACGCCAGCACTGTCGTCGACTCCAAGATCAAGGACGCTGACAAATACCTCAACGAGAAGAGGGACAATGTATGTTTATTAGTAATCACACATTACAGAATTAAAACAAAAATATCCAGTTTATTGTGGACACCGAATTGAAAAATACAATTGGTTTTAAATAATATTTACTTGGTCATGTTTTACTATTTTTTTTATATTATAAAAAGTAAATGGTCTAGTGTACCATCTTTAGTTGGTGCATTCTTTCGTTGCACTGATCTTCCAAACATGTATAAAAGACAAAAGAAGAGTCCATATTTAACCGTTTTTAATTTTTCCAGCTTCTGACGAACCTGTCGTCCGCTGTCAACGAAGCATCAACAGGCGCCTCCGGTCTCTTGAGCAAGGGCCTGACCGCCTTCCCCAAGTAGATGTCCATCACGCCTGTATCATCGCTACCTTCAAGTGTGGAGTGGAAACATAACAGGATTCAATTATTATGTAACTTTAAGGCCTAAACTATCTTGAATGTCTATAAAATATATTGTAAGAACAATACAAATGATTATAAAAATTGGGTTTTAAAATATCTTCTGACTTGGCTGTTTTTTCACTTTATGGTCAAGAACAGGTTCACAGTTCATGTTATACAAGACTTGTTATTTTTCCTATCTACACATTTCGAATAGTCGTATCACATTTTGTTTATAAACATGCACATTGTTCGTAAGTTTTGTTTTAATTAATAGTACAATATTGTATAGTTTTTTAGTTAGTAAGTTTTACTAACATAAATGTTCATTGACATTGTTAAGAACAAAATAAAATATTGTATTAATTACCTAACGATACTTTAACGACTTCGCATTATATTCTTTGCAAATTTCTTATTAAAATTATGTTAAAAAATATGAATTTGCATTATATATTTTATATTTAAGTCACAAAATTGCAATCTCATGTATACTCGTCTATATTATTTGTTAAGGTAATTTTAAGTTATTGTAAGATCATTTTATACTTTGCATTTGAAATGCATTTCGCATACCTGTCTCGAATTTCTATGCTTGGCTTAAAACCGTCCATAATAGCCTTTTACAAATTAAAATAAGAAATAATTCATTGTTCCTACAATAGTACCTACCTTACCAATACACAGGCACTTTTGCGTACATTTAATATTAATAGTGATAACGCTTACGAAGCCTAAATATATTGATATGATATCTGTTATTTACACTACTGCTTAGCAGTCTATTTTATGATACGAATATACGGATGTTAAAATATAGTAGATATTTATTATACAAAACAGTCATATTTTTGAAATGGCGCTTAAAATTGTTGCTTGTACGTGTTTATCTGTTAAAATCAATTTTAATCAAATTATTATTGTTCATCGACATATTCTTATTTTCTATACCTGTTAAATTATCATACTATGTGTTGTTCAATAAATACATGCGATCCATAATTCGAGTTCATTATTTTATAAATTCCTAGCTTTACTATCACAGTGGAATATTTTTAATATTAAGGTTTACATCACTATGTATTATGATGGAAAAATAATAATAAAATTTTACTAAAATCCATTTACTTAAATTGAATATTAAGCTTAACCCGTAATATTACCTATTGCCTATAATTAGCCTTTTAACGGGTTATAAATTCATTAAATAATTTACATAATATTTCATATTTTACTCAAAATATTTTTGAATTTTTAAATTTCGCGTTAATTTAGTCGGAAGTTGAGATATTCGAATAATGTTGCCATATTGTAAATAAGATTTTCTCCCGTTCATCAGACGCAAACTGGTGCAACAAAACGTTTTTGACACTTGTGTAATGTCACTTCGACAGATACTCAGTAAAATAAATAAACATGGCGGGGTTAGTTCGAGCAGGATTTTCTTTTGCTAGAAATGCTGTTTTCTCAACATCAGTACGTTCCATAGCAACGACAAATCCCTTAAATTTGAAAGAGAGTGAGTACTAATAAGTGTTATGTATAATTTAAGAGCGTATTGTGACATAACCTCAACGTAATACAATTTGGTTAATTCTTATTTGATTTCAGTTCGTGAACGTACGGAAGGTTCTTCAATAGTAATAGAAGCTGTTAATGTGCCGTCACCGCGCACTGAGCTCTTGGTTCGCGCAGAGAACCTTCCAAATCATGAGCCTGTAGTGAGCCCATCAGAGAAGCCTCCTTGCTACATGTGTGCTTTAGGACTAGATGTGAAACACACGGATGTTCTTATCCTGAGTCAGTTTGTGAGGTCAGATGGTTGCATGTTACCTCGTAGAATCACTGGCTTGTGTCGAAGACAACAGAAGAAAATGGGCAAGTTAGTGACCATGGCTCAGAAAGCTGGTATGTACACTTATTTAACGAAACGAAACTAGTAAATATTTCTAAATGTAGTCGTTTTAAATAAGCGTGAAACATTTTATTATGACTAAAGAGTAATTTATTTTGGTACTATACTTGTCATGTTTGTTCTCAGTCAGAATTAAATTTTGTAATATTGTAAATTCTAGTTAAATTACGGTAGGATAAAACACCTATATAGCCAGTAGGTATTTTAACTCAAAGCTAACATAAAATCACGCCTTTTATCCCTGAAGGGGTAGGCAGAGGTGCACATTTACGGCACTTAAACTGTCAAACACTGAGCGGTCACTGGTGACCGCAAACTATTGTTCTTTATTTGTGTCTATAATGTTGGTACTCAACGAGTTAATGCCACTGTATAATGTACCACCCACAAAAAGCTATTGATTAATATTTATGTGACCATAGTTCTCTTCGTAATGTTAATACTTATTGTTACAGGTCTTATGATTAACTTGACTCCTGACAACTGCAACAAGGATCCAAGGAAGAGAAAGGACTATAAGAAGTTCAACACCTACTTTGATGAAAGAACAATATTTATGAAAAGAATTCCGAAACCTGTGGACAGATTCAAGCGTTAATTATACATTTATTATTAATATTTGTAATATTTGTAAAATACTAATATGTAGATGTTACATTGTTTTTTATTTATCGTTTTGTCTAGGTCCTTCCCTATCCTTAGGTATTAGTGTGTAAATAAAATGAGATTTTTTCTACTTGTTACATTAAATCTTTTAACTAATAATAGTGGTAATAGTTACAACCTACGCAACCCACTGCAGACTGTACTAAGGCTGCGCGCCGCGACCGCAAACGCTGCTCATGAAGAGCTGTGACTCGTAACTTAACTAGTAGAACTTTGGTCGGTATATTTACGTAAGTAACTCGTAATTTTTAGTTAATTCAGCATATCAAAACAAATCTTTTAATTTATAAAATTGATAAAATCTAAAAAACTAGAAGTCCTAGATAAAAATACAGATTTTTTTTATACAATCTTAAACGTAGTATTTTATTGATGCGGCGCGGTGCCGGTCCAAATTCATTATAATCTGAGATTATGAATAATTTTGTAGCTTATGAATGGGGCCATTATACCCAAGGTCGTCCTCACCCTTTTTTTATATTTGATGGGCCGACGTTTGACAAGTATCTCGCCTGGTGGTAAGTGATGATGCAGTCTACGATGGAGCACGTCGTTCCTTAAGCAACCTATTCACTCAGGCCTTGAAGACACTCACCCTTCAGGAAATACAGACTCTGGCAAAGAATTCCAGTCCTTAGCAGTACGCATAAGGAAGCTTTATGCGAAGCGCTTCGTGCGTGTGGGTAGAATATCTACCATGAATCGGTGACGCTTCGCCGATTGTCTTGTGGTACGACGATGGAAAGGAATGGGGGAATCAAGTTGTGCAATTCCTCCCGAAAACCGAAAGGTTTGCAACCTTACGCCTGTGTTCGAGGCTTTAAAGCTGGGCCTCCACTAGCGCATCATCGTTGATGAGCCTCTTGGCACACAGACCTCTTCCATATGTATTACTATACTTGATGCAGGTCTCTCGATGTGCTCTAACGTGTTCAGCTGATATTCAGCCGAGCCCGAGTCCCAAAGATGAGAACAGTACTTCATACAGGACATGTAAATCGTCCCTCAATTAGCAAAAATACTCATAACAATAGTCCCCCTGTTAAAACAAAATAACAAATTGCTTTCACAATATAAGTATCAATAGGAGGGTTCGAAAATTTCGTTAGTTTTGGCAAGAACCTCAAGTTTTTGAAATATTACTAGGTTTTATAAAATGATCTAGGATGACTAGAGGCTTTTTTAAGTGGGGAAAATCATCGAATGACTGCTCCCGCCTGAATGAGGCGGGAGCGAGTGTCTCTTACTGACTAAACACCACCTCGTTCCTTTTCTTGCACGTCGAGTCGGAGCCCCGGTTACCCGTTAGGTTCTCCGCGACACGACTAGAAGTCGTGTCTAGACTAGACTAGAAGGCTGAGGCTTCAATCTGTCCTAATTAGCAAATCTAATTAGGACAGATTTTGATAAAGGGGATTTGTACCCCGAGACTTACTCAAATGCCTAATAGATGGTGTATTGTATATTCCATCATTACCATCTTTAACAGCCTGTTCTCGTCAACCGCGGGACATAGGCCTCTTCAATGGCCAAAAATATAAAATCCTATCCTATTAATATTATAAATGCGAAAGTTTGTGAGGATGTGAGAGTGCGTGTTTATTACTGGTTCACGTAATAACTACTGATTTGTAATGAGTAAGTTATTTTAGGCGTAATATAACACAAAATACGGTGGCGGTGTGTGCTGCATGGGCTGAGCACCGCCGTGTCCTCAGGGATGTGATCGGCGACGGCGACCTCTCGCCTCCGGCTCTGGTTCAGACTATGGTACGGAGCTAGGGGGACTGGGATGCCGTCTCCTTCTTCTGCAAAGCAGTCATGCTAGCTAAGGAGGAGGCGGAGCGCGTGAGGGAACGAACTTCTTCACGCCCCAGCCGTCGCGAGAGACACCCCGGGGATCGCAAGACGATCTCCGGCCACCGTAAGCACGGTCCTGCAGACGGCGAGCACGGGAGACTCGCCGCCCGACCAGAACCAGGCCCGAGCGTACGGCGCGTCGCGTTCCGCGCGCCCCTCAAGGAGCTATCAGACCACTACAGATGGGGCCCAACAGGGCTAATGCCGATACCGAGCGGCGGAAGACTTAACGGGTTGCCGGCCTTGCCGGGGCTCCGGCTCGAATTGTAGGAGTAGGAACGGGGTGGTTTTTAATCAGTAAAAGTTGTATTATAGTACTCTTTGAGTAAGAGTCTGACACTCCCTCTCGCCTCACCCGGTCATTGGATGATTTTCTCCCCTCAAAAAAAAGCAATCCTAATCCTAATCCTAACTAATATTATAAATGCGAAAGTAACTCTGTCTGTCTGTCTGTCTGCTACTCTTTCACGCCAAAACTACTGAACGGATTTGAATGAAATTTGGTATACAGATATTCTAGACCCCGAGATAAAACATAGGCTACTTTTTATCCCGAAAAAGGGGTTGTAAGGGGTTAAAAGGGGGGGGGGGGAGTTGTATGGGATTTCATAATTCATTTATTTCATGAAACTTTATATTTAAGCACTTGATAAAAAATAATAAAACATTTGTTCTAGCGTTTTTGAAATTTCGACCTGTGAGGGGATGAAATAGGTTGAAAGTTTGTATGAAGTTCGTCATTCTTGAAGATACCTTAGATTTTATATATAGGCACTAAATAATAAACAAAAAATAGTTTGTTCTAGCATTTTAAAATTTACACCAGCGTGGGGATGAAATAGGGGTTGCATTTTTGGAGATAAAACCATGTAACTTGGTACATAGGTCTCTTAGGATGTGCAAAGTTTTTATATAATAATGACAGGAATAGCTAAAGATGAAGAAGTTTTGATTCCTCGCATACCCATGATCATACAGATTTACCTTTTCAGTTCAAAAGAATCCAGTTTCCCCTCAAACCAACCTTCGCAATGACCATTAACAAAGCGCAAGGCCAAACACTGAAAGTGGCGGGTGTAAATTTAGAAAAGAACTGTTTTTCGCATGGGCTACTCTACGTGGCCTGCTCACGTGTATCAAATCCCAAAAATCTCCACATTTTATCTAACAACAATAAAACAGCAAACGTTGTGTATAAAAATGTTTTAAATCAGGTTTTTTAAAAATATTTTTGTACACAATGTGACGCTGGCCCCAGTAAGTGTCTCTTGGACATTTATATGAGAACAATAAATTTTTATTTTTTAAATGTACCTACTAATGATTCAAAAATACACCCAAAGATACTATTCCACGCGGACGAAGTCGCGGGTAACAGCTAGTATTGTATAATTGTTTTGTCAGTATTTTCGGGCAGAGTTCGTTATCAGAGTTCAATAATCCCATTCCCACACAATCGCTATCTACGGCTATTCTCCTCTTCTCCGCTTTGCGCAGGCGCATGTAGGGTAAAAGAAAAAAAAATAAATAGAGAGCATTTTCAGTAATAGTTTATTTTCAGTTTTCGTTGTTTATAGTGATGTTTAATGATATTTTACAGTTAAATAATTCAACAGTAAGCTGCTTCTTCAATAAATGCATTCATTAATAATGGTACGGCAGTAAGTTACTGAAAAAATTGTACTTCTAGTACAGTTACAAAAAATATCGTACAATATAATATTATGTATACCAGGAAAATAATATACAGCTTAGTTAACATAATTGTTACAAAAAGTTTATTAGTTAAAGGGCACGAGATTCCTTGTGTTATATTCACACTCGAAATACTGCTTGTCCTACCTGCTTACAGGGATTATGCATCTCTAATTCATTAACTACACATCTTAACTGTCAAACTACAAAACAGATAAAAAATCTTACGTTAAATTGCAACACAAAAGCATTTTCTATGCAAAATAATTAGATAAAATTTTTATTAACCTAATTAAATTTCTTAACAATTTGTTTTTATTTTTCTATAAAATAAATATCGCCTAAAAGTTGTTTTTATTAAAATCTCTTAATGTTTACATAATACAAACGCAGTCTAACACAGATATTCGTATCCCATACAACCGTGCCAGCGATTTTTGGTACAAACAAGTCAGTTCTAACATGATGATGATCACAGCCTCTCGTATAGGTACAGGTAGCCGAGATCTTTGGGCGGATTTTCTGATAGCGCCACCTGAAAATACAAAACGTACGAGTTATTGTTTTGAACATTATTAGCCTCATTTAAATTGAATTAGCTTTACGTTCAGTAGTAGTCTAGGGTATGTTCGCACAGACCGGTGCGCGTTCGAGCATTCATTATGACAAAAGAAATGGAGATTACAAAATAAACCTTACTATAAATTGCTCAAAGTTAAATTTTCAATGCGATAAAAATCTGCTCTCCTCTCCAAGCCAGTCTGTATGAACAGACCCTAATGTTAAGCTTTTGTAAACTTGGAAATGAAAACACTAAAAAGTAGTGTGTACCTTGTTATCATTGAATATGACCCATCGTCCCTCGTGCAGCACGTGGCACACGTAGTGCCCCACCATGGAGGACGTGCCCATGTGAGATATGAACGCCACCAATCTGTACTCTGCAATAAAAATAATAAGCAAATTACTGTAACATTTCTACATGCTTGTAATGTTTGAATGGCTAAACCAAATAAGACAACTTCGTTTATTAAAGTTCGTTAAAAGACGAATCATTTTTGGGATTTTTAAAAACGGGAAATATCACCGTGAGGAATGGGTAATAGCAACGATGTGAAGCTGAGGTACGACTGTTAAAAAGTTATTGAAAATGGCTTACTCTCGGGTCCGTCCCTGCAGCCGAGGGTGCGGTCAGCGTCGGGATGGGCGGGTGCGTCGAGCTCCGCGGCGTCGAGTTCATCGACCCGGCTGAAGATCCAGTCGAGTGCGCGCGCGACGTCTCCCTGCGTGGCGCCGAGCGCGCGCGCCGCCTGAGCGCGAGTGAAGCCCATGCCCATTATCTGCTCCACGCTCGCCTCGTCCACACCCGCCGCGCCACTCTCCGCTGCACCTGTAATATAAAAACAAATATTATCATCCTTACTATTCCTTACT